ATCTTAGAACTACCTCAGGGACATCTTAGAGGTCCCAGTAAGTTCTGGTTTTATTTTAATTTTGTTGCAGTAATTTTTTAAAAAATCCTTGGTAGATATTATTTTATTTAAGCAACCCATTGACTATTCAAATATATGTTGTTCAATCTCTAAGTACTTGTGTAGTATCTGTGATTTCTCCTATTGCTTTCTAGTTTTATTCCATTATGATCTGATACATGAGATCACTTGAATGCTAATTTGGAAGGATTTCCATATGCTTTTGGGAAAAAAGTCTATCTTACAGCTGTTAGATGACACAGTCTGTAATGTGACTGGGTCTATTTGGTCTATGGTGCAGATTAACTTCCACGTTGCTTTGTGGCCTTTGGTCTGGATGATCTACCTACTGGTGACAGTGAAATGCGGAAGTCACCACTACTATTGAACCAGGACCCAGCTGTTCTTCTATGTCTGTTAGTATTTCTCAAAGCTGGGAAGCCCAATGTTCGACGCAAGTTTACAATGCTTACACGTACACTTATAATTTTTCCTTTTCTTGTGTTGCTTTTGTTCTTCCTGTGAGACAGAGTCTAATACACTTCAAACTTAGCATTTGCTTGAGACTGACTTTCAACTCCCAATTCTAGTCTCTCTGTCTGCTAACTATCACAATTACAGATGATTACAGGTGTGCACCACCATATCTGGCTCTGTTATATTTTCTTCATGGGTTGTTTCTGTTACTAACATGTAGATGCTATCTTTATCTCTTTGGGATAATTTTGGTTCTGAGTTCTTTTTATCAGATCAAGATGCCTATGCCAGCTGGGTTTAAACTGCCACTTGCTTTGGTAAATTAACTTCCATAATTTCCTTCTTAATCTGTGTCTTTGCTAGTGTGTTGTTTTGCTGGGAGACGATGGATAGTTTTATTTTTATCTTTTAACTGAATCAGCTAGTGTTCATCTTTTAATTGGAAGGTTAAGATCATACAAATTTACAATTTTTTATTGATAGAGGTATCCTAGTTTCTGTAATTAAAAAATTGTTGAATGTTGTTCTTTTGTTTCTCCCATATTTGTATTGGGGGTTTGCTGACACATGGAGAGGTTTTCCAATCATGGTTATTTGGAGTTTTAGACTATCTATACTTATATAGTCATTTCTTTCCCTAGACTTGGAGAATTTTCTGTGATTTCATTAAATTTTCTATGCCTTTAGTTTCAGCTCCGTCTACAACACAGTCTAGGGTATATTTAGATCTGTTTATATTCTGTAGTTTTTTGAATTTGTAGCCATGATGATTTTTATGTGATTGATATTTGAATGTCGTATTTTCCCTCCCTTTTCCAACACCCCGATGTGTTTTCTTCTGTTTGGTCAAGTCTACTGGTGATACCTTTCCTTTTGCTTTCTATTTGATTAGTTGTTTTCAACTTCCAAATTTTCTGTTTCCACCCTCTCTCTCCCTTCTCAGTTTTCTAGTTTGCATTTCGTATCCATTTTTGCTGATTTTCTCAGATATGTTTCTGGGTCTATTCCTCAGGTTGAGTTCTTCTTTTACATAATTGATTATTTTTATAAGTAAACATATCAATTATCCATCTGGCATTGTACCCGTTTCAGTGTCTTTAAGCTTTAAGGAGTTGTGGTCTGGAGGGGTCATGTTGCCTCTCCTTTCCATACTTCTTGCATCTCTGTGTTTAGAGTGAGCATCTATTGGTTTGGATGTCTCTCCCACTTTTATTGGAGCATGTTAGTGAGTGGCTTCTTTTTGAGTGCTAATTCCCAGTACCATTCACGGGGGGGGGGAACTGCTATAACAGCAACAACATCAAACTGAACAAAACATAGAAATGCATTTACAACTTGTTAAAGCCTAGTCATCCAGTGGTGTAAAAAGAAGCTTTTTCTTTGAGAGAAGCCTTCCCGCCAGCCTGGTTCTAGAGCCGCATCAGTCCCAAATAAACACACAGGAGACTATATTAATTATAAAGCTGTTGGCCTTTGCTTGTTGCTTACTGGCTAGCTCTGACTTAAGTAATTACCCCATAATTGTTAATCTAAGTATTTCTCTTACCGGAGAGTAGTTCCGGGCTTCCTACCCCATGGCGTTACATCTCGACTCTCCTGTGTTTTTCCTTCCCAGAGTCCTCCTGGACTCCTAGTCCCACCTATCTAGATTCCTATTGGCCAGCAGTGCTTTATTGACATAAGACTTCCCCAACACAGTGGTAAAACTGTAAAACAGCAAATGGAAGAAGTAGAGTCGAGCGTGTAGTAAAGTCACATATCATTGAGGGTAAATGTAGAGATAGCAGCTGAATGAGACGAAGGGGCCAGAAGGGGGAAATAGGGAGCAAAGAAGAAGAGTTGAGAAGAATGCTACCAAGAGGAAGAGGAAAGTTCAACAACTTAAAGATATTGCCCAGTAATGGAAAAATACATAAGCAAAGTTAATGTTGGAGTGAAAAAAATCTAATATAAAACCTTAAAAAGGATAAAGTCAAGATAACACAAAAATATGGTAAAAAGGAAAGGAGTGGGCAAGAGAAAAGGAAATGAGAGGCTTGCAGGTGGTGATGGTTGTTGTTGATGACCAAACTGAGAGGACCTGGAGTCAGCTAGGAAGCAAACCTGTGTGTGTGTGTGTGAGGGAGTTTCCAGTTTGGGTTAATGGAGTCAAGAAGACCCACCTGAGGATGGGCAGCAGTACTCTGTGGACTGGATTCCTGAACTAAACAAAACGGAGAAAGTGAAGTAAGTACTAGCATTTATAGCTGCTCCCTGGCTATGGATGCCAAGGACCAGATGCCTCACACATCTGCTGCCATAATAGGCTGCAATCTCTAATGTTGAGCTCAAATGACTCTTCCTTCTTTACTGACTTTTGTCATTTATTTTGCCACACAATAAGAAGAGTAACCAATATTCATGCATCAACAAAATCAGAGGAATGACAAAAACGTGGGAGTTTCTCTTTTAAAAATAAAGATAAGGTGGATCCCAGACTGATAGCTAGGAAACCAGCATAGGACTGATCCAGACCCCCTGAACATGGGTGTCAGTTAGGAGGCCTGGGCAATCTATGGGGCTACTGGTAGTGGATCAGTATTTTTCCCTAGTGTACGAAGGGACTTTGGGAGCCCATTCCACATAGAGGGATACTCTCTCAGCCTAGACACATGGTAGAGAGCCTAGGCCCAAATGATATGACAGACTTTGAAAATCCTCCATGGAAGGCCTCGCCCTCCCTAGGGAGCAGAAAGGGGATGGGATAGGAGGTTGGTGAGGGGGGGCAGGGGAAGACAGGAGACAGAGGGAACTGGGATTGACATGCAAAACAAGCTTGTTTTTAATTTAAATTTTTAAAAAATCACACACACACACAAAAAGACAAGGTAGAAACACTGCTAAAACTCCAGTAAAGGTAGGGGAGAAACCCGACAGTAAAGGGGTGCTGCAGTGAAGTCCTCTACAGTTGGAGACTTCCAGGTGGATGCAAGAAAGGGACAATCAGTTGAATCTGTACACTCTTGTCTGTTCCATGGTTTATGCTGGTGCTGAGCCCGCACATGTGTCGGGTGTCTTCCAGAACTATCTTCATGTTAGTGTCTCTCCTAGCCATATTAACCATGCTTCTTTGACCTGGCCAGGTTCGGGCATCTTGGGATAGATGCCTCAGTTTGTACACTCTTGTGTGGCTAGTGTTCCAAACTGGATACCCCCAAGTGTGCTGGTAGTGGGGAGAGCAAAGCCATCACTGCCACATGTACAGGTGGCCCTGTCTCCATTCTTTCCTGCTAGAGAGAAGTGGCTGTACATGTGAGGTAGTCCTCTGGAGACCGAGAGTTCCCACTTTCTACCTAAATGAGCCTCATGACAGATAAGATGGCCTGCCTCTAGGTGTTGACCTCACTGTTGACTTCAGGCTTGTGTTTATCAAACTCCAAAGTTCTCAAATGATGAGGTTGGATCCTAGAGACTAATGTTGGCACCGCATCCCCTTGTGCATCTCACTTCCTGAGCCAGACCTGCTGCCCACCAGCTTCTCAGTGTCTGGCTTTTGCGCTTTCTGAGGCTGCCTTCTGGATCTGTCTTCCTGTTGGGGCTGTATGATTGACGTCAGACTCTCTGACTTACGATTACCCCTGATTTCAGACCCCCCCCCCCAGGGTAGCTCAGTTTTAAACATTGGGTCCCCTTCAAGTTTTTGCCTAACCATAGACTTCTGAGCCAAGGGACAGAGAGTGCAGTGGAACTCTCCTCCACTGCTGACTTGGCGCCCTGGAGGACTCATTCAGTCTCTGGGAAAACTGCAGCTGACTTGAGTTTTGGGAGAACGGTGGGCATTTGGGAGAAGCACTGTGCACTGGAGCTGTGTGTAGGGGAATTTCTGCTGAGTCACCCTTCTGTGTCTCAGCACCTTTCAGGAAACTGTGCTCACCACCTTGCAAAGGGCTCTTAGCTCTTTGTTTTAGAATACTTTTAACATTTTATTAATTCATTAATTTACTTTGTGTGTGTATGTTTTTGTACACACACACACACACACACACAGAGGAATGGGTTCTCTTCTTTTACCATGTGGGTCCCTCAGGTCAAGTTCAGGTCACCAGGTTTGCTGTCAGCACCTTTATCTTCTGATTCATCTGATCAACCAGTGGAGACAGAATCGAGTAGGCGATTGTTCCCATGGCTAACTAAACTTGGAAAACACACAAAAATAAAAGAGGTACAAATTTCAGGCTAACAACAGGAAGCACTTACATTTCTAACCTATGATAAGAGCTGATTCTCAACACTTCTGGAATAGCCGTGGAAAGCCCTGCTCCATCACTGTGGCTTTTGCAGTCCTTGGCTGGAAACCACTTTTAACTCCCATGCTGTACCTAGCACACGAGGGCACTTCTGATTGTCATTTTACCAAGTGTTAAAAATGCACTTTCTTCCCTTGCAGGAGGCAGAATTCACAGTGCGTAACCTTCATGGCTCTTTTTCCCTCTTTGGTCTTGTAGTTTGAGAAATGGCGTGTAACATACCCAACCAAAGACATCGGGCTATGTCAACAGCAGGAGAAACTCTATATGAAATTCTTGGTCTGCATAAGGGAGCATCATGCGAAGAAATTAAGAAAACCTACAGGTACCATGGAAGTTGAGTGGGGACGGGTTCTGGGCTCCCGCTGGTGGTTTCTGGTGACTGGCAAGTGGTACCAACTTAGAGACATAAGCTTTTTGCCAAGGCCAAGTGATCTTCATTTTGGACCCATGTTCCCTGTTTTGTAACATCAGCAGTTCAGAATAGATAGGCATAGCAGTGATTTTTGAAAGAATTACCATGCGATGCCTAACCCTGAGGAAAGAATAGTTAGTTCTCTAGACTGGGAGAGGAAGCCATCAAGGAAGAAGGAGGAAGGAAACCTAAGCGAGTCAGTAGCTGAAGTTTAACCCATGTGAGAGGACATCACTGCATCTGGTAGAAAGGTTGTCACCTATGCTGTACTGCCAATTACATACACTGTTGATGTCACCTTTGCTGTACTGCCAATTACACTGTTGAGGCCTTTGGTTTTGATCTTTTCATAGCTGACTTGCTTCTAATAGTTAATGTAGAGAGAGACCAAAATATCATTTTACTTAACAATCTAAGAGATAAATATATATAAAGAATAAAATTGCTAATTTTAAGCTATCAAAAATAAAGATAATGTGCATCTGTAATTTTACCTTAAAATAATTTTCATGGAGAGTTTGTTTCCTTCATCCTTTCCTGTCTAGATAAAACAGTAAAAGATTAAATTGAATTTGTCTACAGTTTCCACCCATCTTTCTTTCTCCTAAGTCCTGTAAAGAAAGCATCTTGATATTATTAAGTATCCTGTTTTCATGCCTTGTAACCTATGTTTATTCTCAACCTATCTAGTCATTTTACAAGTCATTATTTAACATGGAGGCTTTTCAGTTTTTCTCTGTGCTTAACATCCTGTATATAAATCACAGTACCTATTTCCTATTGTTTCCTAATTGAGTAATAAAGACAAAATGAAGCAAAACATGATCATTTTAATTAATACCTTCTTGGTTTTTATCTTGTACTGGGGTTTTAAATTTTTAGTTATTTTTTAAACATATGGCATTTTAAAAAATTGAAATAGACAAATAATTAGTAATTTCTGTTATATCTTTGTCATAATTGTCTAGGTTAAAAAGCCTCTTTTGATTACAGTCTTGTATCAGATCCTTTCCTTTTAGCACATCTATGATTTTGCTTTGATATTAAATCTTTGACCCTTTTGGGCCTTATTTTGGTATAAGGAATGATGCAGCATTGCAGACTTGGTTTTACCAAATTACTAGCCCACCAATATTTATTGACCTTTTCCTATTTTACCACTAATCAGACCTTCTTTGGCCCTGAGCTTCACCACTTGATGACCTATAGCAGCTAATGGGGCCTCAAGAAGCTTTTATAAGTGATGGTCCTTCAGGCTGCCGTTTGATCCAGTTTTTTGAAAATGGCAGTGACTGACTAAGGTCAATGCAGCTCTTCTAAGGCATATTTCCCTTGGAGTGCTAGGAGCAGAGAAATCGTTACTATTTCATTTAGCACCCTAGCTTCAGAAGCTGTGGTGTAGTCCACAGCTGATGAATGACCTCTTTGGAATGGTGCTGAAACTCTCTTAAGGCTTCAGGCTAAGCTGGTTTGTGGAGACCTTGGGGATGGGTGTCCGAGCAATCGCATTTTAGGTTTAATAACTGCAAAAATGAGGAGTTAAGAATCTACATCAAACTTCCTTTCCATTCTTAAAGCTCAATTTACAAATGTGACTTTTAATTGCCTTTATTAATTTTGGAAGCTAAGATTTCAGGTCATATCCTCATTAAGGCATTAATTATGCCGAGCTGCTTGCAAATTTAGTAATCACAACATAAAGTCTTTTCATGTAATCAGTGCCTTGCCATTAATTTGGTTTTAATGTCAAACAAATATTATTTTTCAGCTGATTAGGGTACTAGCATGCTGCCCAGAGCATCCTCTTCTACCTAAATTAGACATTTGTATTCTGCAAGTTATTCAAAATGTAGGAGCAGGCTGCAAATCCACTGAGAATATTATTCTTATACTCAGAGATCTGGATTGAAGCAGTGACAACACAGTGAAATTAAAGGCCAGTGAAATGTAATAAAATTACCAACTGTTGCTCCGTATGCTGCTTGACCTCCATTATAATATCTGGTTGTCCTCTTGGAAACAAGATTGAGCTAGGAAGTTTCTTCTTTTATCTTTCTTCTTGTTTTTTGAATAGATATTAAACAATATGTTCATTGAGTTCAAATGAAAACATGCACATTCAAAGGTTGCCTCCTTAGGGGAAATGATACTATTAATTCCTTGCACACCTTTCTAAAGAGACCTAATGCCTGTATGAGCACATAGAACTTCTGGGGCTAATTGATGGCTGTAGAACATCTCTTATTAGTGTCCTATGCCAAACGGAGTCTCCGAGCGAGGACAGTGTCTCGGGCTGTAAGATCAGACTGGACAGGATGGAGTAGACGTATCTCTCCCTGTCCTTCCTGATTTGCTTGACTACAGTTCTTGAGGATGGTACAAGAAATAACAAGAGAACTCTGACAGCTAGAAGGAGTAAACTGACCAGAGGAATAACAGCCGCAGACCATCCTGTGACTCTTCCACTCTTCACCCATCAGAAAGTAGCCCAGGCAGGGTGTTTTCTCATTTCCTACCTGTTCTTCCAGCAGAATAAACTTGGATAATCTCAATCTTTCCCCCAACTTGAACACATCACCCCAATAACCCTAGACAAGCCCTGCACAATAGAAAGATTGTCCATTGAAAGTCCCTTGGCCATAAGGATAGGGAAGCACTTTCCGATCTTATAGCCTGATACTCCTTCTCCCACTCGGAGACTCCATTTGGCAAAGGACACTAGTAAGAGGGCTTCTAGAGTAGGCAGACAGTCCCTGAAGTAGGTGGCTAGTCCTGGAAGTGTGCTTTTGTCAGAGGAGCTTAGAGATTCCCTCCCCCGACCTAAAAGCACTCAGCCTAAATGAAGTCCCTCTCAGCTTCCCAGGCACTGTAAGGAAAGACACCAGTCGAAAGGCTCTTAGGAAGGTAGAGAGCTGCTTCAGCAGTTAAGAGCATAGCTTGCTCTTCCCAGAGACCCTGGTTCTATTTCCAGCATTCACGTGGGCGTTCAACAACTGGCTGTTGTAACTCTGCTTCCAGGGGATCCAATGCCCTCTTAGAGCCTCGGCACCCACACCAGGCATGAGTCTGGTACACAGACATACAGGCACATACATACACATAAAATATACACACCCACACACATAAAATAAAAAATAAAAGCTAGAAGAAAGACCCATAGGTGACAAGCTAGTAAAAAACTAATTTACAGCACAAAGACTCTGAAAATTAGATTCTCGTTGGAACCATCTGCAAAAGTAAACTATGACCTACATGTTACACCTAAGCATATTTGTTCCAATTTTAAAAAAAGAATCCAAATTCTCCTAAAGTTACAGTCAAGATACCAAGACATGATAAATCACCTATCATAAACGAACTAAGAAAGTCACAACTTGAATGAGAAAGGTCAGCTCCTGACTCCCATACTGACGGATACCAAAAGTAAGACTGTAAGGGCTTCCGGGACAGACTTAACAAGTCACAAATTATTGTGAAACAAATGAAACTGTAAAAATCACAGGAAAGAAAGCTCAAAGGAGAAGAACCAAATGGATTTATACTCAGAACAGAATCCCTGGGTTTCAGGATGGATCAATAATTACCCAGTAAGAACAACAGAGAAAAATGAGTTGAAAATAACTATGTTTTAGGGATCTGTGGCTCAGTAACATTACTGTGCAGCTCTGGAGCCTCACGGGGGAAAGGAGAAAGAATGGACTAAAGGAGTACTTGAAAAATTAATGGCTGAATCTCCCCAAATTTGAAAAAAAAATTAAGAAACTATGGTTATAAGAACCCAAGTGAACCCAATTAGGCTAACAGAAGAAATCTACCCCAAAGATGACATCATTAAACTTTAAAAACTAAAATGAAGAAAAGAGACTTGAAAGTAGAGAGAAACAACACACTGTCTACGGGAAACAGCATCTTGAGTGACAGCCTGAAACAACAGGGAATGGAGGGAAGTAGACCCAGCATTCTTCAAGGGCAGAAGCAGAACCACAAATATGGCATCTCCTGAAATTGCATTTCAGCTATCAGGGGAAATCAGGGACATTAAGAAATCCTCAGGCAAAAGACATCCAGAAGACTTTGTCACTAGTAGATCTATTCATATACTTGTGAACACACACACATGCACACAATACATGCCACACACAGAGAGAGAGGGAATTTGAAAAGAATCGCTTCAAGAAGTTTTTCAAAATACTGAAAATAGCAAAATGAATGTCATATTGTCAAGAGGAAATGGAAAGAGATAAAATGCGGGTAAAATAAGACTACTGTCTTCATGAGTTTCCTAAATTATGAACTCTTGGATCAAAAGCTGCAGCACCACATGACACTCGATGGTCCTGGATGGCAGTGAGATTTACACTTTTCTAAAATCAGGAAACCCTGATGCCAGTAGAGTTATAGAGTATTTGAGGACCCCATCCCAAACTACATAATAACGCTACAAAGGGATCAACATGTGTTCCTTTAAATTGTTCAGATAACCCATAGCAAGACAAAAAATAGAAAATGGGAGGCAAAAATAGCAAATGGAAACAAAACAAAGTAGAAAAATGGACTTAATGCTTAACGTAAGATGTATACTGTCAATAGCCAATTACATATATCTCTTTTCTTAAATATATTTGGATAAACTATCCATCCCATATCATTCATTAAATTTTAACAATACAGTCAACAATGATCAGTTCAAAAGGAATCATACTCTTTTTGTTAAGTACCATGATACAGACATCCCATGGCCTCATCAGTTTTTTGTTAACAGTTACGGTTTTTCTGTGTTTGAAAAGTTAGTACTTAGCTAGTAGCACTGTTTTGGAAGGTCGAGGACTTGTCGGGAGGTGGAACCTGGGTGGAGGAAGTGGGTCATTAGGGGTGGGCCTCAAGAGTATGTAGTCTGGCCCTATTTCCTG